CCTCCCGGGCCACAGTAGAGAGCTGGACTGGAAGAAGAGCAACCGAGACTAGAACCCGGTGCCAATATGGGATGCTGGCACCGCAGGCAGAGGATTAACCAAGTGAGCCATGGTGCCGGCCGCTAGAAATGTTTTAATGTGAAGAGTAAAGGTGAAACGCCAGCACTGTGGTGTAGCAGGTAAAGCTGCCGCTTGCAGGGCCAGCATCCCATATGGGTGCTGGTTCGAGTCCCAGTTGCTCCACTTCAGATCCAGCTCTCTGCTATTTCCTGGGAAAGCAGTAGAAGATGGCCCAAGTCCTTAGGCCCCTGCACCTGGGTGGGAGACCCGGAGGAATCTCCTGGCTCCTGGCTTCGGATCGGCACAGTTCCAGCTGTTGTGGCCGATTGTGAGTGAACCTCTCTCTCTCTACCTCTCCTTCTCTCTCTGTGTAACTCTGACTTTCAAATAAATAAATCTTCAAAAGAAAAAAAAAAAGAGTGAAGGAGAGGCCTTTCTGGCAGGAGGAGTTCCAAGTGTGTGCATGGATTGGTTCCTCTTCAGTGCGCTTGGTTTACGGAAAATATACTAAGTGAAGAGGATACCCTTGGAGAATCTGACCCACGATGTCTAGTGAGAGTAGTAACATCCCAGCGCTCTTGTATCCAACATGGAGTTGATATGTTGATTTCTGCTAAGGATATGTAACACACAGCTGTCCAGATTCCCAAGGTTGCCTGGGTTTCCTCTTATGTCACTTGTAGAAACTGTTTCTATTCAAGATAAGACAAAAGTGGGAAGGGAGTGTCACCTAAAACCACATATGGATAGATGAGGACCTGTGCTGGAGTTCAGAGTGAAACTAATATTCTGAGTAACCTTACTCCAAATATTAAAGTGAAACAAGTCTTGTAAAGTGCAGGCAGGATAACGGAGGTAACTTTGGAATGGCTTTCCCAGCTTTTTGAATGGAATGTTCATGAACACATTTTCTTTTGCATTTTAAATCTGAATTTGTGCTGGCCATGTTGCTGGAAGTTGGTGATGAGTTGAATTGCAGTTACTACTCATTAATAGTATTCAGTAATATTCAATAATAATCATTGCCTCAGTTTAAAATAGCTTTAGGTCATGGATTTATCTTGCTTTCTGTTCCTTTTTGTAACCTCATATTCAAGATGATCATCGCTGCTGCTTCCACAGAATTTTGTTTGTAAAAATAAAAGTAGAGGCTGGCGCTGCGACTCACTTGGCTAATCCTCTGCCTTGCGGCGCCGGCACACCGGGTTCTAGTACTGGTTGGGGGCGCCAAATTCTGTCCCGGTTGCCCCTCTTCCAGTCCAGCTCTCTGCTGTGGCCAGGGAGTGCAGTGGAGGATGGCCCAAGTACTTGGGCCCTGCACCCGCGTGGGAGACCAGGAGGAAGCGCCTGGCTCCTGGCTTTAGATCGGTGCAGCGCCGGCTGTAGCGGCCATTTGGGGGTGAACCAACGGAAAAGGAAGACCTTTCTCTCTCTCACTGTCTAACTCTGCCTGTCAATAAATAAATAAATAAAAGTAGAAGGACTTAAGATCCAGTCATTTTGAATGTGATCATGACCACTCTTCCCTGACCCCCTGCCTGCAGTGCATTTAGCTCACCTTGGTCAGTGACACCCCGTTTTACTAACTGGCCTGCTGCTCTGGCTGCTCTGCTTTCCGTCAGTGCTCAGATATCCCGTCCCCAGCTTCAACTTTCCTTTCTCCGCTTTCCCTTTCCCCCTTTACGCCTGTTTTCCAGCTGTCCTTGTTTCCTCGCCCCGTATCCGTTATTTTTGTGCCTACTATCTCTTTAGCTGAAACAGATTCTGTTTGTCCAACTAAGGATTCTGTCTTCATGGCCCTCTCTAAAATCTACTTGTTGCAGATTTAGCTTTTCACAAAACAAGTGATAGTCTTTGATATCTCCAGATAGCATTTTAGTCTCTCTTCCCTCAAAGTTTTAGTTTTCTCTGTCCTTTGGGAAAAAGCCGACATTCGGGCACTAAGTCTTGTTTTGATTTCGAGTGGGAACTACTGCGTGGATCACATGTTTGGGCTCACTGAACCAGTGATCCAGCCTGTGAAATGAGGATGTTGAAGTAGACTTGTTCAGTGGGACCTTCAGCATTCTTCCTTATCACTTGCTCTATATGACAGTAGTTCACAGAGTGGAGTTCTTTATTTTAATGTTGAAATATTTTACAGAGGGGCTCGTTTATGCTCTGAGATGGCATTTGATATCTCTTTTGGTGTCACCATTTTAAATGTCCCATTTGCTTCAGTAATACTTAAATGTATCCCTTGATTAGACAGAGTCTTGGGCTGTGTCTAAGGGGTCAAATTGATTATTTTGACAATAAAAGTAAAGCTCCTGATTTATGATTGAAATTGAAACACAGTTACATGACTTTTTTAATCTTTGTAGTGGAGGGGAAGCAAAATAGAAGCTGTATTTTAGTGAGAATCAGAAGCCAGCCTTAAAGTTGAAGGTTATGTTCCTGACATAAACCAAATTTGTTTATAATATGTTTTACTTTTTGTATATTATTGGATTTGTCTTCTAATAGTTTGTTTAAGATTTTTGTATATGTTCATAATTTCATTATCAAGGTTACTCTGTCCTGAGAATGATTTATGGAATTTTGGTATGCCAGCTATATGAGATACTTGTTATTTGGTAGAAGTTGCTGGTGAAACCATTTGGTGCTTGTTTTCTTTCTGGGAAGGTTCTTTTAAAAAAAATTTATCTAAAGATTTGTTTACTGGATAGGCAGAGCTACAGAGGGAATGAGAGGGAGAGAGAGAGAGGGAGAGGGAGAGAGAAAGGGAGGGAGGAGGAGAAAGAGAGAGAGACAGAGGGAGAGATTCCATCCAGTGGTTTATTCTCTGCATGGCTGCAGCAGCCAGATTGAAGCCTGGAGCCATGAAACTCTACCCTCATCTCCTACATGGGTAGCAGGGGCCCATTTTCTGCTGGCTTCTCAGGCACGTTAGCAGGAAGCTGGATCAGAAGCAAAGCAATAGAAACTTGAACCACACTCCTGTATAGGAAAACAGTATCGCAAGTGGAGGTTTAACCAACTGTGCCACAAGGCCAGCCTCGGAAAGGCTTTTAAATACAGATTCAGTTTCTTTAAATTTATAGACTAAATCTTTCCTCTCTCTCCTTTTGCTAATTCTGGCAAGTTATCTTACTAGAAATTTATCTGTTTACCTAAAATTTCCAATTTCAATTTCAATAACAATTGTTATTTTCAATAACAATTTCATTGTTATAAAGTTATTAAAAATAATCATTTTTTAAATGTCTGTGGGATCTATAATCATGTCCAGTTTTCATTCCTGACCTTGGTTATTCTGGCTTCTATTTATTTGTTTGGACAGTCTTACTAGGAATCAATAATTTTCATTGAATCCAGAACACCCATGCTTTATGTTAGAGGAATTGGAGCTAGGCTTACTAAATGAACCTGCAAAGACAGATAAAGATGCTCGGGGCTGGCGCTGTGGTACAGCAGGTTAAAGCCCTGGCCTAAAGTGCCAGCATCCCATATGGGTGCCGGTTTTAGTCCTGGCTACTCCTCTTCTGATCCAGCTCTCTGCTATGGCCTGGGATAGCAGTGGAAGATGGCCCAAGTCCTTGTGCCCCTGCACCCACGTGGGAGACCTGGAAGAAGCTCCTAGCTTCGGATCGGTGCAGTTCTGGCCGTTGTGACCATCTGGAGAGTGAACCAGTGGATGGAAGACCTCTCTCTCTGTTTCTGCCTCTCTCTGTAACTCTGTCTTTCAAATAAATAAAATAAATCTTTTAAAAAAAGACAGATAAAGATGCTACAAAGACATTTCCTTTTGTATTACCAATTTGATTAAAGAAATTTGGATTAGATTTTGATTTTTAAAAAAGTTTTTTGGAGGCAGATAGACACAGAGGGAGCACCCCCACCCACTGGTTCACTCTCCTGGGCTAGGCTGAAGCTGATAACTCAATCAAGGTTTCCTGATGGGTGGTGGGAACCCAATTACTTGAGCTATGACCACTGCCTCTTGGGGTCTGTATTAGCAGGAAACTGGAGTCAGGATCTAGAGCCAGGCATGGAACCAAGTCACTCACATGTAGGATACAGGAGTGTCTTAGCCACAAGGCTAGGCCAATGTCTGTGCTTAGGTTTTGATTTTGGTCAAAGTGGTTTTATTATTATTATTAAAGAAAAATACAACTTGTATTTATTTGAGAGGCAGGGAGAGACAGAGAAAGCTTTTTTTTCTGCTGACTTCTCTCCAAAGCTTGTAACAACGAAGAGTGGTCCAGGCTGAACACTGGAACTGGAAACTCAATCCAGATTTCCTGAGTGGGTGGCAGTAACCCAGTTGCGTGAGCCATCACCACTGTCTACACAACTCTGCATTAGGAAGAAGCTGGAGTCAAGAGCTAGAGCCAAGTATTGAGCTCAGCCATTCTGGTGTGGGACACAGGTGTCTTAATAGCTAGTGTTGCTGTTTTGGTGCTCTGACATAAGTTGCATAGATTTTTGATTTGCCCTTAATCTTTTTTTTCCATAAGCCTTGTGGTCAATTTTGCACAGATTGTATTTTACAACAAAAATGTTATGGCATAGTATTATGTTAGAAAAGATACACAAGGAGATACACCCGTGTGAATGGCCCCTTCGTTCTCTAGTGGGTTTAGAGGTAGCAGTAGCTTCAGAGAAAAAGGAATGCATATAGACCTCAGAGACGGTGGATGTGAAGCTCCCAGGGAGAGAAGGGGACCTGTGAACGCATGTGGAACAACCTGGAAGAATACATTCATTAAAAAAAAAAAAAAAAAAAAAAAAAAAAAAAAAGAAACAACCTGGGCTTTTGTTAGTGTGGGGTTGGTGTATATGAGGTTTGGTAAAAATGAGGTTGGGGAGAGGCACTGTGCAAGTCACAGAAGACCCAACTTGTGCCTCGCTGAAGGATTTCAACTGTAATCAAGTGGTTTTCTTGCTCTGCTCTGTAGACCACCCACAGGAGCTGCTGCTGAAGGAGGGGAAGACTGGCCTCTCAGCTCAGGACCACAGGCTTCTGTTAACAGAGCAGCTGCACTGTGTCTGGATACACTGCTGCGGAAGGTAAGGGTTCTTGGTGAAAGAGCGGTGTTTGAAAACTATTGTAAACACTCAAGAACCTTTGAGAGATTTCAAGCTGAGATTTTCAAGCACCTTTGAGAGATATTTGCATTGTAGAAATTTCACCCTGTTGGCACTGTGGACAACAGCTATTTTCCTGTTGGTACTCCCTCTTCCAGGCAGATTCTTTGGTAAAAGATAATTTCTTTATGAAAAAACAAAATGAATTTGATTGTTTTCCCTACTTTGCTGTATTAAGGTTACTTGGATTTTTGCCATAAAATAATATAGCTACAGTAGTATATATATTATATAACTAGAAATTACTATTTAGTTATTAAATCCAATATTTTTAATAGATACAACTTTTAATAGCAATCACAAAAATTCTTTCAGCAAGCAGGGCTATTATTTCATAATGACAAAGGATATTTTAATACAAATACAGGTTTTCTTACAACTTAGACAGGAGGAAGCTTCTTTTTTTTCAGATGACAGCAAAATGGATACAAATAGTAATTATATAATTCAGCCATTTTTTTGGAAAAATAGTGGATAAACAAAATATATGAGACAAGTTGAATTATGTTTGCATTTTATGGAGTAAACTCAAAGGGCTAAAAATTGTTTCTGCTGCCTGTGTGAATATTTCTGTTGTGTCCAGGACAAATCTTATTTTTTAAGTTATCCCTGGTGTACTCTCAGCCACTTCTTTAAATCTGCATGGAGGATGCCTACGTGAATAAGATGCCTTTGCCATCAGGGTGCTTCAGCTTGGTGGGAGTGTTAGTAAGAATATTTTCTCCAGTGAGGTGGAGGAGTGTGTGTTTGAGATGCAGTGGGAACAGACTTGAGAAAGTCGTGGGAGGAGGTTGGGCTGGAGTTCCAAAGTTTCTTATTTTGATCTGTTGTTAGTTTTTCTGAATGAGATTTCGTGTTTTAAATAATTATGTGTGTAATGTTCATAGTACTCTTAATGCTGTGATAATATAATGATTTCCAAGCACTAAAAAGGTTCTTAAAACTGATTAAGTAACTGAAAATTATTAAAATTGTAATGATTTGTGCTAAAAATATAAGAATATACTGTCTTTATTGATAAAAAATTCGGAATTTCAATGTCAGAGATTGTGCTATAGTCCTTTACTTCTTAGCTTAATTCCATTCATAAAAAGTACATGATCGGGCCGGCGCCGTGGCTCAATAGGCTAATCCTCCACCTTGCGGCGCCGGCACACCGGGTTCTAGTCCCGGTCGGGGTGCCGGATTCTGTCCCGGTTGCCCCTCTTCCAGGCCAGCTCTCTGCTATGGCCAGGGAGTGCAGTGGAGGATGGCCCAGGTGCTTGGGCCCTGCACCCCATGGGAGACCAGGAAAAGCACCTGGATCCTGGCTCCTGCCATCGGATCAGCGCGGTGCGCCGGCTGCAGCGGCGGCCATTGGAGGGTGAACCAACGGCAAAGGAAGACCTTTCTCTCTGTCTCTCTCTCTCACTGTCTACTCTGCCTGTCTGTAATAAAATAAAAAAAAAAAAAAAAAGTACATGATCAAGGAGAATTTGACTTTCCACTGATTTAAGAGTGAAGAAATTATTTCAGACTGGTCTCTGAGTAATTGTGAAACAGAAGCATTTGAAGACTGCTTTTGAGCTACACTCATTTTTTTAAAAAAGATTTATTTATTTATCTGAGAGACAGAATTACAGATGGTGAGAGGGAAAGACCGGGAGAGAATTCTTCCATCCTCTGGTTCTCTCCTCAAATGACCACAAGGGGTGGAGCTGGACCAATCTGAAGCCCGGAGCCAGGAGCTTCTTCTGGGTCTCATACTTGGGTGCAGGGGCCCAAGGACTTGGGCCATCTTCTACTGCTTTCTTGGGCCATAGCAGAGAGCTGAATGTGAATGGAGCATCCGGGACTCAAACTGGCACCTATATGAGATACTGGCACTGTAGGCAGCGGTTTTACCCACCACACCACAGCACTGGCCCATAGAAAAGGTTTTAACAAATATTTTCATCTACTTGAAAGACAGAGTGATATATATATATATATATACACACACACACACACACACATGCACACACACACATGATATTGATTGATCTATATCTGGATTGATTGATGGATGGATGCTCATCTACTGGTTTGCTCCTCAAATGGCTGCACATCTGGCGTTGTGCCAGGCTGAAACCAGGAGCCAGGATCACCATTTGGGCCTCCCATGTGGGTTACAGATGCTCAAGAACTTGAGTCATCATCCACTGCCTCCTGATGCACTAGCAGGAAGCTGGATTAGAAGCAAAGCAACTGAAACTTGAACATTCTTTTTTTTTTTTTTTTTTTTTTTTTTTTTTTGACAGGCAGAGTGGACAGTGAGAGAGAGAGACAGAGAGAAAGGTCTTCCTTTACCGTTGGTTCACCCTCCAATGGCCGCTGTGGCCGGCACGCTGCGGCTGGTGCACGGTGCTGATCCGAAGCCAGGAGCCAGGTGCTTCTCCTGGTCTCCCATGGGGTGCAGGGCCCAAGCACTTGGGCCATCCTCCACTGCACTCCCAGGCCACAGCAGAGAGCTGGACTAGAAGAGGAGCAACCCGGACAGAATCTGGTGCCCCGACTGGGACTAGAACCTGGGGTGCTGGTGCCGCAAGGCAGAGTATTAGCCTAGTGAGCCGCGGCGCTGGCCATGAACATTCATTTTGATATGGGATGTGGGCTTCCTCAGCAACAGCGTAAGCTGCTGTGCCACAACACTGATTCCATATTTCCAATTCTGTAATGAAAGTTAGAATACAAGTCAGTGAGAACAAAATTCACATGCATTTTTATTTTTTTTATTTATTTATTTTTTTATTATTATTTTTTTTTTTTGACAGGCAGAGTGGACAGTGAGAGAGAGAGACAGAGAGAAAGGTCTTCCTTTGCCGTTGGTTCACCCTCCAATGGCCGCCGCGGCCGGCGCGCTGCGGCCGGCGCACCGCGCTGATCCGATGGCAGGAGCCAGGATCCAGGTGCTTTTCCTGGTCTCCCATGGGGTGCAGGGCCCAAGCACCTGGGCCATCCTCCACTGCACTCCCTGGCCACAGCAGAGGGCCGGCCTGGAAGAGGGGCAACCGGGACAGAATCCGGCGCCCCGACCGGGACTAGAACCCGGTGTGCCAGCGCCGCTAGGCGGAGGATTAGCCTAGTGAGCCGCGGCGCCGGCCGCATTTTTATTTTTTAAAGATTTATTTCTTTATTTGAAAGACTGAGTTACAGAGAGGCAGAGGCAGAGGGAGGGAGAGAGAGAGAGAGAGAGAGAGAGAGTGGCAGATCGATCTTCCATCCGTTGGTTCACTCTCCAAAATGGCTACAATGGCTGGAGCTGGGTGAAGCTGAAGCTAGGAGCCAGGAGCTTCTTCTGGGTCTCCCACATGGGTGCAGGGACCCAAAGACTTGGCCCTTCTGCTTTCTCAGGGGCATTGGCAGGGAACTGGACCAGAATTGGGCAGCTGGGACTGGTGCCCATATGGGGTGTCAGTACTGCCCGCTATGCTATGCCACAGCACTGGCTCCCTTCAAATGAATTTTTAAGCAAACTTTTAAATATTCAGTTCAAGAGAAATAATAAAGTATTGAGACTTTTGAACTATTAAAATGATAAATGAGAAATTGTCAGGGAGCTTTATGAAGCATTCCTGAAACAATGATGAAAATAATTAGCAGTGAATTATTCTATATAATATTTTCCTTGTTGAACCGTGGACTTCTTGTTAAATATGGAAAATTGTCTATTCTTATAGCCTCTCTTCAGACTTCTTTAAAATTACAGGGTAACAATTAAGAGAGTACAAATCTCTTAGGGTGCCAGTGCTGTGGCGTAGTGGGCTAAGCCTCCGCTTGTAGCTCCAACATCGTATATGGGCACGAATTCGAGTTCTGAGTGCTCTACTTCTGATCCAGCTCTCTGCTGTGGCCTGGGAAAGCAGTAGAGGATGGCCCAAGTGCTTGGGCCCCTGCACCCGTGTGGGAGACCTTGAAGAAGCTCCTGGCTCCTGGCTTTGGATTGGCTCATCTTCGGCCATTGTGGCCATTTCGGGAGTGAACCAGTGGATGGAAGACTTCTCTTTTTTTCTCTCTCTCTGTGTCTGCTTCCCTGTAATTCTGCCTTTCAAATAAATAAATAAACAAATCTCTAAGGACAAAATGATTAGAAGAAACAATAGTAGCAGATGAAAAGTTTTAGCACATCTTTGAAAACTGGACAGCAAGAAAGAGCAATATTGTCTGATTAAGAAGAGCAATCTGTATTTTTAATTTTTGCGGAAGAGACAAACAAAAAGAAAGCATCAAATCAAACTGAAGAATCTTTGGTAACCCTAACGTTTGTAGGTTCCAGTTCCTACAGAAGGTGAGGGTGAAGACGCAGGGTGGTAAACAGTGGAGCTGGCTGGGAGGCTGTATTTGAAGAGAGTGGGCCCTGGGTCTGTAGCCGTCTTATCAGACCAGAGACTTTTTTCTGGGTAACTGAACTTCAGCAGAGGAAGACCAATAGATATTAACAGTTGGAAAAATCCCTAAAAAAGTGTTGAGTGCTGCCCAGTTATTCTAAGTTTTTATTTGTTTTATTTTACTTGAAAGGCAGGGAGAGAGAGAGAGAGGGAGAGAGATCGAGTAAAAGAGAGACTGAGAGATTGATTATATCCACTGGTTCACTCCTGAGTGCCTGCAATAGCCGAGACTAGGAGTGGCCAAAACTTGGAGCCTGGAACCTCAACATGGATCTCCTGTGTTATGGGAGGGACCTGACTACTTGAGCCATCACCTGCTTTCTCCCAGGGTGTGCTTAAGCTGGAGGCTGGAATTGGGAGCAGAGCCTGGACTTGCACCTAGGCACCCTTCCTACAAGAAGCTGATGTTCCAAGTGAGGATTTAACTGCTAGGCCAAACTCCTACCTGCTGTGCAGTACTCTAGAATGAAGTCCACAAGGTAATAGTCTAGGTCTGCTAACACAGAGCTACTGGTC